CCCTTGTGTCTGACACCGCACGTATCACACGTTCGTTCTCGAACACGGAAGACCCCGTTCTTTCCACGTCTCGAACGACGTCCACACGTCCGTCCGATTTATCTTATAAAAATAGAGTGGAAGGAAATTATTCGAAGAGATACGATTACACGTGACTAACGGAGGAATAAAATAATATTCGTCCGGAATCGACGATCACAGTGACAATGACAGCAGAATCTTTCGCCGAGAAATGTCCGTTTCCTAATTTGACTAAGTACGATCGTGATAAAGGTAGTGGGAGTCGACTAACGGGCGCCGGGTGTCCGAAACGAAAATTAATCGACAGCCACCGCTCCGGGGGGGATGGATAGGTAAAGGACGGGATTGAAGTGACGGGGGAAAAACGAAAGGAGTAAAAACAAAAAAAAAAGAAAAGCAGAAAATGATACAGAGACCAGAGAGATAATAACGGAGCGGATATATGTACTTCCTTCCTGTACGGAGTAGAGACACGCGTATAGCTGGCGCGATATAATTAGAATGACGCGATGCCATGTCGCGGCTTGTAACAAGCCGCAAAGCGAAAAACGGAAAACGTATAAAGGGAAAGAATAACGAGAAAGAGCCAAAAAAAGAAAGTAGTCACAAAAGAGTATAAAAAGAAAATGAAACAAAAGACGGTAGTCGAGTAAGGTAAAGTCACCTTGCTTAACACGCGACTCCGATATGGATGTTTACACATATGTATGTATATATACATATATATATGTATACGGATAGACGAAGAGGATTTTATATATGTATATATATGTAATCAGTCGAGTGTGAATAATTTTTCTAGCTTGGAAAGCAACGTGGCCGACGAGTGCTGTTGATTTGGTTCCGTGCAGGGTGCGAGCTCTCTTCGACTTGTACGCTTGCATTTTACCCCTGATTCACGGCGTCCTTGCGAGATTACTAATTACCCGTCGGAGAACAGTCTCTATTTTCGAACGTAAACCCACGAAACTATATAGTTACATTCTCACGTTTTCCTTGCAGAATTGTCTTTAGAGGTGAGTCAGGGGTAATGTACGAACTTTACCGTTGTCTTCGTACCCGTCACGTGTACGGAAACTTAGAAACTAGGGGATAATCAGAGCGACCAAGGCCGGATGGTTTTGTTGATTGCAGGTCCACCAGTGGAGGTCGGCGTCACCATGTATGTCCTCAGCATCAGCTCCGTGTCCGAAGTGTTAATGGTACAGTTTGCATTCTCAAACTCATACAGAACTCACAGTCGACAGCTGTTCGTTCATTTTCTATCCGAAACCCCGTTCCCCTCGTTCGTGCGCGTACCGGCGCGTTGCGAGCCTCTTCTTTCTCTCACACTGTCCGCCGTCCGCGGCGAACGAATAAGCGTGGCGACCGCACGATCGATCGGTCGATCGTTACCGATGCCGATCGATCGATCGATCGCGCGGTCGCCGTATTTACGTTAAACGTCGTTCGAACGAGAATCAGCCTTTTCGAGAACGCGCCGTTCATCCCACTATGCCGCTTGTTTCCGATTGTTTGTTCCGGGATTTCGCGATCCATGCGTAACGCGTAAATATTCATACAAGACTCGCGTGCACATGAAATTCAACGAAAGAACAACACAGTGCGCAACGAGTAAGATTAATAAATATTCGCTCGTGAATATTGAATATTCATCGTTCGTTAGCGCCTCGTCGCGCTGCGCCGCCGTACGGATTCGACCGGGGAACGTAAGTGTTCGCGATGCGTCTCGCGGGCCATCTCTTCGCGCGAAGGCTCGAACTCAAATCTGTTACGATTACAATATTCCATTCGCGGAATAAGAATCTCGGGGATCTTTTCGGAACGTTCACCAACAGACACGTAGGCATCGCGATATTTACGTTGGCAGCAAGGGGCATATTGGCACGTACACCCATACACATTTGCATATACATCCACGAAACGGAAACACAGAGACAAAAAAAAAAAAATAGAGGTACATCTATACATGTGAAATCGTACCCACATATATGTACATGTACACTCAGGCACACACACACAGACATATAGACACTACACGGATGGCCTACTAACCTACGTTTTTATAGCTCGTCACAGCTGTTTGGTTGGCTGAACTGTTACAAGGGAACCTTGCTACGTTCCACAGTCTTCGCAAGATATATTCTTGTCCACTTCGTTTATGGTTTATGGTTGACTCGTTTAATTCGATTTGCGATGTTCTTGTTGCATGGCCCTACCCGCGGTGCTCGAATCGGCGACGAGAGCTCCAAGCAAAAATGTAATACCCAAAAGATTATTGTTAAACAAACGCGTTCCTGCGGCGGTTCGCTCTAACGTCTCCGAACACAGCATCATTTCTTCCGACAATTCTTTGAAACAAACGAATGCT